GGGGACAAGGTGAGAGGGGACACTTGGGGACATTCAGCATTGAGAGGGGACACTGGGGACAAGGTGAGGGGGGACACGGGGGACTGGGAGGGGACACGGGGGACAAGGTGAGAGGGTGTCCCAACCCCTTTGATGTCCCCACAGCGTCCCCACAGCGTCCCCACTCCCTCGATGACTCTCCCCAGGTGTCCCCATAATGTCCCCAGGTGTGCCCAGGTATCCCCAGATGTCCCCATGATGTCCCCAGGTGTCCCCAGGTGTCCCCATGATATTCCCATGATGTCCCCAGTTGTCCCTAGGTGTCCCCATGATGTCCCCATGATGTCCCCAGGTGTCCCCATGATGTTCCCAGGTATCCCCAGATGTCCCCATGATGTCCCCAGGTGTCCCCAGGTGTGCGCACGTGTCCCCATGATATTCCCATGATGTCCCCATGTACCCCCAGTTGTCCCTAGGTGTCCCCATGATGTCCCCATGATGTCCCCATGATGTCCCCACGATGTCCCCACGATGTCCCCAGGTGTGCCCCGGTATCCTCAGCTGTCCCCAGGTGTGCCCAGGTGTGCCCATGATGTCCCCATGATACTCCCATGATGTCCCCATGTATCTCTAGCTGTCCCCACGTGTGCCCAGCTGTGCCCAGGTGTCCCCATGATGTTCCCATGATGTCCCCAGGTATCCCCAGGTGTGCCCCCAGCTGTCCCCAGGTATCCCCAGGTGTGCTCAGGTGTCCCCATGATGTTCCCATGATGTCCCCAGGTATCCCCAGGTGTGCCCAGCTGTCCCCAGGTGTGCCCATGATGTCCCCAGGTGTCCCCAGGTGTGCCCAGCTGTCCCCGGGTGTGTCCCAGGTGTGCCCAGGTGTGCCCCCAGCTGTCCCCACGTGTGCCCATGATGTCCCCACGTGTCCCCAGGTGTGCCCAGCTGTCCCCGGGTGTGTCCCAGGTGTGCCCCCAGCTGTCCCCAGGTGTGTCCAGGTGTGTCCAGGTGCGCTCACCTGTGGCCCCGGGGGTGTAGATGGGTTTGTCGGTCTGCACGAAGATGTGGCCGCTCTGCAGCGCCACCAGCAGCACCTTCTGCAGCGTCACCTCGGCCACCCGCGCTGTCACCGTCACAAACTGCTTCCCCTGCGCCGGCGGCAGCAGCTTGGCTGGCACCTG